GGCGAAGGCCTAGAAGGCCGGCTGCTCCCAGCCAACGGCCTGGTAGGCGGAGGGCTCGGAGAGGCCCGGACCGCCGAGGCATGCTCAGCAAGCAGGGCCTCCGGTTGCCCAACGCCGGCCCCTGGCCCAGGGGGAGACAAAGTAACGGGCGGAGGCGAAGAAGCACGCGGTGGGACAGCCTCCGTGCCCTCTTCAGAACTTGAGCACAACCCGCCGAGAATATTGGGCATAGGGTTGGCGGCGCTGGCTTCCGGCTGTTCGGCGCCGCTCGCAGCACCCTGCGGGCAGCATGCTGGTGCAACGTCGGTTTTTGGCAGCCCTGCACCCCCTGCGGCGCCGTGCAATGAGCTCGGCGGGACGGCTACAGCCCAGCTACCTCCGCCGCTCGCCACCCGCGCGTCCCTTGGGGCCGAAGAACTTTGGGCATCTTCACTGCCGGCCGAAGAAGCACCCACGCTGTCGGCCGAAGACGCGGCCGGCGCGACCACCAGAGCACTGGATTTCTTCTTTTTTGTAGGCGCCTGGGCAACAGCGGCGCCCTTCCTCTTCTTGGACTCGGCCTCCACCGTAACATTAGCATTCTTCGCAGAGGTCTTCTTGTTCTTCTTCTTGTCAATTGAGGCAATAACCTCCGTGGGAACCTCATGCTCCCGGTAGACGATCCCGAGCTCCTCAAAAACTCGATTGAGCCGCGGCATGATGCCGGACACGGCTCTCCGAGACATGTACTCACGCTCGGAAATTTTGCCGACCAACCCGATAGCAGCTTCCTCAACCTCGGAGACGAAACTATCCTTCGTTACGCCCTCGCCCAAAGACTGGCCGAAGCGGGGGAACGGAATCCCAGCCTCCGGCCCAAAAACGGGAATCTTCACCATTTCAAGCCTAAAGGGTGGATTGTCTCCTTTAAGGGGCCAATAGTTGGAGGCCATGATCTCCTCCACCAGATCGCGGCCCCCGGAGTAGCGGCACGCCAACGCGAAGGCCCGGTCATAGGCCTCCCTCGCCGGAGATACCGCCTCCGACGGCTCCACGCGCGTATGCGGCGCCATAGCCTCCATCCTTGAAGTCAGTGGGTACTCCATGACCTCCACGCCATCGTCGATGGTGCCGCGAACCCTGTAGGTCTTCATGTAAAACCACCCCTCGAGCCAGCCGCGGTCCCATTTGCCCTTTTGGCAAAAAGAAATCTCCAGGCGATCTACACCTTGGTTCCTCTTCGCCATGAAGGTACAACTACCATACTGGCAGACCACCTCCACCTCCTTGCCGTCCCGCATCTCTTTCCTCTTCTTCGGTTGTTTCTGCAGCTCGTAGTAGGTGCAGAAGGTGTCCACATCCGGCTCGGCGCCATAAGAAGCACACGCCCAGCAGAATTTGCTGAGCGTAAGGAAGTCCGTAGGGGTCAGATGGTGGAGCTAGACGTTGAAGGTCTCCAACACCCAGTGGAGGAAGGGACCGTAAGGAAGGCGGAGGCCGCAGACGAAGAAGTCCCGAAACACCACCGCATATCCCTCCTCCAGCTCTGGAACAGTCTGGCCAGATGGAGGGATCCTTACCCTAGAAGGTGGAAAATACGACTCCTTCGACATCTCCGCGACCGCCTCTTCAGTAATGGAGGAGGGGCCGAAGTCCCATGACTTTATCGCCGTGTCTCCAGAATCCGCAGCGATCAGGTCTCCGACGGACGCGGAGACACTCCCCAAATCTTCCTCCAGCAGATTCTCAAAATCCAACGCGGACGCGGAGGCAAGCATGCACTCCTCAAAACGTGCACCCCAGCCGCCTGCCCTAACACCAAGAAGGTGGCGATAGGGACCGAAGAAGGCGGGCCGGCGAGTATGGGCGAAGGTGGAAGAGAGAGCCACCGTGACTGCAACCATGGAGGAATGCGCAAGCGGAAAGAAGGAACGCGCGGACATGACTCAGGCGTGAGCAAAGAAAGCAGAGAGCGGTGTCTAGCGCTGCAAGGCAAGCAAACGAGTCGTGTGGGAGGGGACCCCACCACCAACCTCGCCCTTATATAGGCCGCGGGCGGGTGGCTCAGCTCCCGCCGAACAACGGTCATCTCCAGTCAGCCCGACTGGCGGCAATGGTCTTCTCCGGATAGTTCGCCTGGAGCCCAACGGTCATCTCCGGATAAAATGCAAGGTGCGCAACGGCTAGGTTTAAACGGCCACTTCGATAAGACCAACGGCCGCGCCAGAACGGGTCAGGGGGGAACCGGCGGGGATCGGTCGAAGACATGATTGCGCGTAGTCACCGCCCCCAACCGGCGGGGATCGGTCGAAGACGTGACTGCGCGTAGTCTCCGCCCCCATGGACGTCCTTGTTTGGGGCGTTTTTTGAGCTCACGACACGCTCAGGCGGACCGTGGTCTCAAAAGGGGGGAACTGTTGTAACATGGCCACCACGGGTGGCGGAGACCCGCGCAGTCCGCATGATACGAGGGCACCTCCGGCCAGGAGGGCGAAGGCCGCCTCACCTCCTAACTAATTAAACAACGATCTTGCCTAATTGTGTGCAGGTACTTAAGCACGGGCGCCCGGGGACCGCGCGAGCGCGCCAGTCTGGCCCCCGCGAGGTCGGGCGGAGGCCTGCGGATGATGCCTCCGACCGGACCGGCGGAGACCCGCCAGGGCGACGGCGTGCCCCTGAAGGCGGAGGCCAGCGTCGATAGCCATGGCCCCCGCGCGGCCGGGCGGAGACCCGCGGGAGATGTCTCCGACCGGTCGGCGGAGAACCGCCGAGATAGCGTGGCGCCCCTAGAGATGGAGGCCAGCACCAGGGACCCAGGCCTTTGGGCCGAAGACCGAAGCATGGTGGGCCGACTGCTCATGGAGGCCCATTACTCGGAGACGGTATGGCAGGATTGTCCCGCAAACGAGAGGCTAGCGGCGGAATATTCCAGGAATACTGTAGCAGTTGAGGGGCATTGTAATAAATTCTGTCATGAAGTAGTTGAGCCCTATAAATAGGGAACACTTGTAACCGTGCAGGGGGTGGTTGGAAAATGCATTAATGAAACCCTAGTTTTCCGTGCCCTTACCCTTACACGCCCAGCGATCGTTCCTGTTAACCGAGCCTCCGCCTGAGGACAGCCGTCCACGGGCGGAGGCCCCCAGTTACCTGTCTGAAACCGCAAGTTTCAACACTTAGGTAAGCTGCAGCAATCAGATCAGATCGGTAAGTGTATCTGTTTGGATGATGAACACGACAGCTCGACAAGCTAAGCTTAGGCTATCTCCAATATGAGACCTATAAGTAGACCCAAACTTAAAATTGGTCTCCAACATAATACCTATAGGCCCCGTTCGGCTTGCTGAAATTTGGCTGAAACTGGCTGAAAAATACTGTTCTGGCTGAATTGTTGTGAGAGAAAAACACTGTTCCAGCTGAAAAAAGAAGCCGAACAAGCCGGCTTTTGGGTAAGCCGAACGGGGCCGCCTCCAACAGACATATTTTAGGTGCCAAGAGAGGTATAAATCAAATCTGGGAATCCTCTCTCCTGCAGACCCATTTACAGAAAGAGTTATCTTTTAGATCTTGTTGTTGGAGAAGACTAAAAATAGATATTGAATCATTTAACTGTAGCGTTGCCCAAACATGAAATGGGTCTCAGTGTTGTGAGCATCGATCGTAAGTCTTACCCAAACCCAAAAGGGAACATGAGGGTGCGTACTAAGGATAAAATAGAGCAGTTGCATCAGCAATTTCCGAAGGAAGCAACCAAGTGGTTTGCTGCGGACGATATGAAATTCGGAGGGAGTGTGGCAGTGGTAGGTAGTAGTGCCCAGTGAGGTATCGGCTCCGTTCATTTGAGGTTAGAGCCAGAATCAGTCTTATTTTTTCAATCATTGAATAATATTTTTCTCTCATAAAAAATTAGTCATATAAATTGGCCGCAGCAATAATAAGCCCTGCCGATCAAGGCTATCAGTGAATAATACGGATTTCTCTATGTCCGAAAAGACCTGATGCTTCTGTTGTCTGTAAGCTAAACTGTGAGAAAGCTGATGCCTTTTTTTTCTTGTTCCCTTCTGAATATTGGTGGAACGGATGCCTGCACCGCCGAAAGGTCATTTTCCGCGTGCGTCGCTGTCATGTACTTCCTCCGTCCCGATGTCCCGTAATAGAACAGAAGACCTTCTAAGTCAGGACACGGAAGTTAAGGAGAAAAGAGAAGTACCGTACATAGAAATTAGAAGGTGAGAGATGGAGAGAAATAGAGATAGAGGTATATTATTGGTAAATAAGAAAGTTGTATTGGGAAGAAGAAAAATAAATTCAGAAGTGAGAAGGACAAGTATTTTAGAATAAAATTTGAATACTGTAAATTCTTCTATTATAGAACGGAGAGAGTACAGAATTTACGTACCATTCAGCAAGTAGTACTAATCATCCACATGATTAGAACACAAGGACGAATCTTGCTTACCACTAACATTTGTTTGGTGAGCGAAAGTTTGTTCTTTTATTTTGGAAAAAAAAAGGAAAATCTGATTGGATCCTGCAGCTCGGCAACTCGTTCCTTGGATGGATCGCGCAGGCGACCATGTGAGGACGGTCGAACGGGTCCCGCCGGCCAGGCCGGTGGGGGCGATCGACAGCAAAAGCGCCCCGCTGCGCTCGCGTGGCGCACGCGCTTGACTAATAAACCGTATTTTTTCAGCCAACGAACAGAGATGACAATTGCGGAGTAGGCCGTTAGGACAATCTCAATGGGGATTTCATGAAAGTTATGGACATTAAATACTCTAATATAGCACTATATTGATGAAGAGAGATGATAAAAGTTTCATGGGAGTAGAGAGAGTTTTATGGAAGATAAAACTCTTCTGCACTGTTTCTAAAATATAGGTGAATTGAAAACTAGGACATGAAACTTTCACCGAGACTAGCCTACAAAGAAGATCATGTTCTTCGTTTTCTGAATTGAAGCAGCAGCATGTTCAGTCGCCACACCTCACACGCTTATATATATTTAAACAAGGCACCCTCTATTGAGCTTCATGTAAACTTTGGAGGAACCGTTTGTACCACAGCGCGGATGACTTGGGCTTTCTTTCCTGTGTTTGGTAGTCAACATAGTGAAGTCCAAACCGGAGGGTGTATCCGTATGTCCACTCAAAATTGTCAATGAGAGACCAGATGAAGTAACCTCGAACATCGGCGCCGTCCCTATCAATTTCACTCAGATACGTTAGCTAGCAGGGAAACAGTTCGTCCACCGTCCACGCATGGATGCAATTAATCAAGCTGTGAACTTTGAATTGAAAATGCAACTGACCTGATAACTTTGGCAAGTTTTGTGAGGTAACCATCGAGGTACTGTATCCTACCCTGGTCGTCAAGCCAATCTTCAACATGGTTGTAACCATCTCCACCCTGTGCATAGCCTGAATAAATTAATTTTTTGAGTTATTATTGTACTTTGCAACTCTGAACGTCGTCAGGGAAAATTCGGAACATGAAAGCACTGCAAGCTGAATTAATAGATGCACCATTTTCGGTTAGGAACATGGGAAGATTGTTGTATCTCTTCATGATGTAGGTGACCATCTTCTCTATCCCGTCAGGAACATCGAAGAACAGTGGCATAGCTGTCTGCACAAAATGAAACGCCAGTCAGTCAGAACCTCGATCGACATCAAGTAAGCATGCATATCGACATCAATCTGCTTATTACTGGAGGTCCGATGTGAACTCCATTTCTTTCTCCGGTGTAGGCCGCCAGCGCATATTGGATATCCTGACCCGATGGGCAATCTGACGTGAACATGCAGTCCTTCACGTACAGAGTCGTGTAGTGGTTGATCCCGATGAAGTCCAGCTTGTAACCCAGCTTCCTCCTCTCCTCCGGCGAGAAGGTCGGCAGCTTGGAGCCCAGGAGCTGTCGCATCTCCGGAGGGTAGTCGCCGTAGATTATCGGATCAAGAAACCTGCAGCAATCAATAATCAAGCGATAATTGGAAACAAATTAAACGCTCGCTCATCCACTGGTGTTTTGCATGCATTGGGTGATCTCTAGACTGTTATAAGTACCATGGAACACTGAAGGCCAGTGCCCGTTCAGTCGCCATCCGGTCCACTGGTGTGTCCGTCAGTGGAACGAACCAGAAGCCTGCCATCACAATGCCAATCATGCCCTTCTGCCTTCTCTGCGGCAGGTTTCAACCGAAAAAACAGGGAGGTTGAGTACGTTGTGAAGTTGTGGCGATCATCATATATATCTGGTTAATCAAATCAAATACTAGCTAGTAATTAACCTGGTACTTCCTCTTGTAAATCTCGACGGCAGTGGCGTGGGACAGGACGACGTTGTGCGTGGCGACGTAGGGCTCGGCGTCGGAGTTTCCCTGGGCACAGGAGCCGTACGGCGGCGAGCAGCGCCCCGGCGGGTAGGTGCCGAGCATGTAGCCCTTGGTCACGGCGACGTTGGGCTCGTTGAAGGTGGCCCAGTGCTTGACGCGGTCGCCGAACACCGCGAAGCACACGTCCGCCAGGTAGCCGAAGTCGCGACGGACCTCGGCGCTGAGCCACGCACCGTACCTGTCCACGAGCTCTTGCGGGATGTCGTAGTGGGCCAGCGTCACGAATGGCTCTATTCCTGCGCTCCATCCAGCATAAAAACAAACGTACGTGTTGGAATTCAGAATTCTCATTTCTCTCTGTATTGATGGAGTTCACAATGGATATGATTCAACTGAGGAGAGAGTCCACTGTCTAGTTTACCTAGGTTTATGTTTTATTTTGAAATTCCAAGAAGAGTAATCAAGGTTTTTATGACAAAGTGACCAGCACAAAAAAAAAGGCTACTCAAATTGACTACAGTCTTCCAACCAATGGACCAAGAGGGTTTGGGTATCTAGAGGTTGGATTTACAAAATAAATGCCTCCCACTTCTTATCCAAATGGCTTTTTAAACATAGTAATGAAGACAGGGTTTAGCAAAAACTTACTAATATAAGAAATAAATATATTAAAAATAAGACGTTGTCTAGTATAAGTAAAGTGGCGAGAGATTCTTGTTTCTGGGTCTCAGTGAGGATGAAGGACCAGTTTATGAGCTTGCCAAGGATTAATTTAAAAGATGGCTCCCAAATCAGATTTTAGCAAGATATCTAGTTATGGAGATACACTCGTTGTGTTCAAAATACCCAAACTTGTATAATATTGTTCGCAAGAAACATGCTATCGTGGTTGATGTCCTTAGCACAAGCACGTCAAATGTTTCTTTTAGAAGCGCTTTGCTGGAAAAGAAATTACTGGAATGCGATCATTAGCAACTAGCACTGTTCTTGATGTATGCAGTGGGCAGGCTATCATAGCCCTGTTCGGCTTACCCAGAAACCGGCTTGTTCGGCTTGTTTTTTCAGTCGGAACAGTATTTTTCTCTCACAACAATTCAACCAGAATAGTATTTTTCAGCCAGTTTCAACCAAGTTTTAGCAAGCCAAACGGGGCCCATAGATCGATAGCACAGGCATTAATTAATAGTCTGAACCGCCATCTGTTGTCCTAGGAACTGATTGAAGTGACCGTGAAGGCGTGAGCTGCAATAGTCTTTTATTTTGATAATTTAATTATGTACTCCTTCCGTCCATTAAATAATGTAATTCTCGTTTTTTTTAAAGTCAAGTAATTTAAACTTTGACTAAATTTATATAAAAAATGTTAACATTCATGATACAAAATAAGTACTATTAAATTAGTTATAGAATATAAATAAATTTACTTGGACATAAATGCTAATACTATTTACTATAAATTTGATTAAATTTAAACTGATTTAACCAGCACGAATCCTATAATTGTATTTTTTTATGGAGAGAGGAAGTATATATCTGGGCTTGTCTATATCATACGGGCATGTTGCAAGCTGGAGTATTCAGCGATGGGCATTTTTTTTCCTTATACGGATGATCCTTTACTTTCAGTCAAATGCGTCTCAGAATAGTGAGTGATTTTTCTGCAGTGAACCTTGTAATGAGTTCGGTTTGGTTTTTCCAGTGAGGAGATGAAGGCAAATGTTACTTTACATCATCTTATAAAAAATAAAAAAAAGGGTGACGGTGGTTACGGGAGATACCTCTGAGCAGGAGTGAATCGATGAGTTTGTTGTAGAAAGCGATGCCTTCCGGGTTGACTTGGCCGAATCTTCCTTCTACCCTCGGCAAATGAAACATTTTTTTAGGGGTTAAGAAGATATTGCAAAGATTTCATCGAGTATCGACTGAGAAATTAATGACAGAAGTTTTGAAGCACATATCAGGGGTGTTTGGGACTGCTCGGTGAAGTTTGTGGAGCAATCCCAAACATCCCATAGAATAAACTCACTTGGAAGAATTCTGGCCCATGATATTGAGAATCTGTAGGCGTTCGTGCCAAGAGAGTGCATGAGCTCAATGTCATCCTGCGAAGAAGCAAGATTGGGGCACTTAAGGCGTAATTTATCGAAAAACAGGGGAATCAGTTTTAGCCAATGCAATGATACTATTGTAACATTAGTACCTCGTAACGATGATAGTGATCATCCGCGGTATCCCCGGTGCTTCCATCTTCGATTCTTCCTGAAACATAGCACTATTACTACTACTATATATGTCACATATATAGTATCTGGGTTTGCAATCCATGGCAGGCGCAGGACGACGGCAGTTCAGCTTAACAGAGTGGAGGTAGCTCTGCTCTCGCTTGGAAATTGTATGATTTACCTGGTATGTGAGTGAAGACATCCCAGTTACTTAAGCTTTTGTTGCCCTCGAGGTACGCACCTTCGATCTACAAGTGAAAAACAAGATTACATCGGTCAGCACGGCTTACTGAACTACTATCTCTTTTTTTTTTTGCTTCACCATGTCCATCTTCTTAGGTAGTATAATCATATCAGTAGCAATAATCCCTCAGTCCTGCTGTGCAACGCAAGGTACGTGGGCCTGTAATCACTAGAGCCCAAGAAAGCCCAGTAGAAGGAGTACATATTCCAGCTTCCTCGAGACAGAGAACGACCGATGGATAGATGGTCCATGCGAATGCGATTCTGCCTAAGTTCTCCACTTCTCATACGAATAACTGAAGAAACCACAAGCGCCTGCAAACGAGAGATCGAGGTCGATGGTGGGATCACCTGGTAGGAGGAGGTGGCCGTGCCGAAGAGGAACGACGCCGGGAAGTCGCTCCTGCGGACCGCCACCGTGGCCCATGGGAGATCGAGCAGCCTCAGGAGGAGCAAAGCGCCGGCGAGCAAGAGCCGCCGTGCCTTGGCCCCGCCCGCCATGCACACCACACCAGACTACTTTACTCTTGGCTCTGTAGTACGACGTTGGTGGGGTGGGTGATCACTGATCGAAGAGGACGGCACAGCAGTGCTGTTTCCATCCGCCTTTTTTCCCATCGGTGCCGGACATATATAGGCTAGCTGAGGTGAGGAGGCTGTGGTTGCTTGTCTATCCTGTGTGAACCGTGGCGGAGGGAGGGAGAAGGTGAAGGCGTGGCGCAAGGAGCAAGAGACCAAGAGTTACGTCCAGCCGGGTAAAGCGCGAGATGCTGCGGGCACTTGTCGGGGTACAGTAACAGTTACTGGAGAACCGGGACAGGAGTAGGACTGGACGAGTGCGAAAGAAGAAAAACAGCGACAGCGAGCGCGCGCGCACGACAGGACCATTTACGGAAAGCATTTTCAAGCAGTTAGTAACCATTCATGTTTTGGTAAATTTGCTTTTCCACTACTTTTTTTTTCTCCCCATGTCTCTTTCCACTTGGACAAAGTTAAGGCGTGACCGGTCACCCGTGCAGATTTTTTTTTTAATTTTAACACTTTTTAAAACTAACACTTTCGGCCGCGCCTATTGCATGTGCCGCGCCATGCATGGTGGTGCGGCAGCGGGCTGACGTGGCGACGACCGGAATCGCTGATCGGTGACGTGGCAGGGCTTGCCGCGACACCGATCTTAGCGCGGCAGTGCCGCACCCTGATCCGTGGCGCGGCAGAGCCGAATAAAACCCCCGCGGCCAGTCCCGCTGCCCGAGCAGCAAGGCCATGCCCACCGCCGCCGCGCCCGCGTCCTCCCGCAGCCGAGCACGCCGGCCCTGCCCACCGCCGCGCCCGCGCCCACGTCTGACCGCAGCCGCGCCCGCCGCCCGCGCCCTTGCCCGCAGCCGCGCCCGCCGGCCCTGCCCGCCGCCGAGCACACCGGCCGCCGTGCCACGAACACCGGCACAGAATGGCCGCCGGCCGCCAGGTGCGGCCGCCGCACCCGCATGCCGGCGCGCCACCCCCTCCGGCCACGTACGGCGGCTGCCCGCCGAGGCCTGCGCCGGCGCCTCCCGGCCCGGTCTAGCGCGCCACCGCCGCGAGGACGAGCGCCGCTGCCGCGAGGTACTCCCCCATGTAGTTAGTATAGTTAATAAAATTAGTAAAATTAGTAAAGTATAGTTAGTATAGTTAATAAAGTTAGTTAGTTTAGTTAGTATAGGTAATATAATAAGTTAGTATAGATAGTAAAGTTAGGTAGTTTAGTTAGTATAGTTATTGTTATACATTAGATTTAGTCTAATTAGTTGTTGTAGTTAGCCTTGTATAGATGTTAATATTAGATTAGTTAGTATAGTTATAGTTATAATATGTATTAATATTACTATGGACATTACATACGACGAATTCGACGACTTGATGAAGTTTGTTTAAATGCTTTTGCAGATGGATTGTTGTGTTAGAGTTTTATACGGAGGAAGTGTTAGGAGAGAATATGGTATGTTTGAGGATATGGAAGAAGAATTGGAATGGTTTGATGAACCTCCTAGCTTCAACGACCTTTGTGTCCGTTTAAATGCAAAGTTTGACGGTGATTTCACACTGAAGGGGAGGTTTGATACTGGAAAGACTAGGGGACACTATGTCCTCATGCCCTTGCGTGACCCTGCTCACTGGTCCCGCTACACTAGGGTTCTCCAAGATTTCAATGTGCCCATGGCTGAGGTGGTGGTAGAGAATGGTTACAGGATGCAGGGTGTTCAGGACGGCCCGTCCATTGATGGTTTTGGAGGCAATGAACAAGAATTAGGGGTCGAAGGGAAAGCAACTCAGGATAACATGGATTTGGACGATCAGTTGACGCAGGAGCAGTTTCATTCAACTGCAGTAGGCTGTATAAGCAATGACTTCAATGTGAATGAGTTCGAACGGGAAGAGGAGGAGCAGGAGGAGGACAGGATCGGTGATGTAGGTAGCAGTGATTCAGATGATTCTGATGTTGACCAAGGAGGTACAGATGCTATGCCAACACCGGCTGATGCCATGCCAGTACCGGTTCATACTATGCCATTACCAATACCAACTGTGGTTTTGCATAGTGTCCAGGCTTAGGGTAGACTAATCACAGATTTGGCTACAGATGATACCCCCTATGATTTATGGGCCAGAATTAGCGAAGCGTAGTAGTATGTTCCACCACCACCTTACACAACGACTGAGCCTGAGCAACTAAGGTCCAAGAACGTACCTTTCAGGGGCGTTCCGATCTATAGGGATGTCAGTATGACGGATATGGCAGTTTGTGACACTGGTCTCCAGATGTGTAGGAAATCATTGTATGACCATGAGAAAGAAACTCTTAGAAAGGGGATGATATTCAACACAATGTCAGAGATGAAACTCTTCCTTCAGGACTATGCTATGTACCACCATAGGCCATACACCGTCACTCATTCGGACCAGCAGTTGAGGTACCACATGATATGCAAAAACGGTTGTATGTGGAGGTTAAATGCACGAAAGAGACAGAGTGATGGTAAGTGGAGGATAACTAAAGTTGTTGAACCCCACACTTGCCTAGACAATAGGGGGAAGGAAAATCATCATCAGCTCACTGCACGTTACCTTGCCCGTCGTATATTGGGGCTCGTTGATGACAATAACGACATTTCGGTGTCTTCTTTATAAAAGCCCATATCTGGATTCATTAAGTACGATATGACGTACGGAAAGGCTTGGCGTGCTAAGTAAATTGCTCTGGCGATTCGATGGGGTAGTTGGGAGGAAGCGTACAATAGGGTGCCCCACATCTTATGTGCAATGCATTACTACAACGCTAGCTTGAAATGGTTTGTGGACACCGGAGGGATGTGTTTTCGGGACCCATTGAGGCATGTCCTCTATCGTGTGTTCTGGTCGTTCGCACAAACGGAACATGCATTCCAATTTTGTCGGCCAGTCGTACTTGTTGATGGCACTTTCCTGATAGGAAAGTACAGGGGCACCTTGATGATGGCTGCTGCGGTTGATCCTAAGGACCAGATAGTACCCGTGGCATTTGCTTTGGCAGAGGGAGAGAACAATGAATCGTGGTCATGGTTCATGCGACTTCTACGTGTACAAGTGCTTGGCCCATCTCGTACTATATGTTTGATCTCGGACCATCACGCAGGGCTTCTTAATGTTGCAGCTGAGCATATAGATGGGTTCCCGCCTCTAGTACATAGATGGTGCATGAGACACTTTGCCGCTAATTTCTAGCGGCGTCAGCGGAAGTAGGAGGTATGTGACAAGGTAAAGGCTCTTTATTGTGTACGTACAGAGCACCAGTTCAAGGAGACAAAGAGAGAACTAGACAAGATGGTAAATAAAGCAGGAAAGGCCTGGTTAGAGACGCAGATGGAACAGAAGGCTCAGTGGGCATTAGCATATGACGAGGGGGTTTTAGGTATGGCATCATTGAAAGGATTAAGATGCCCAAGAGGGGGGGGGTGAATTGGGCTAATTCTAAATTTCTTTGCTATAATTAAACCCTACGGTTAGCCCACTTCACCCCTTGTGCCTAGAAAGTGTTTCTAATGTTCTACCATACAAAAAGTCTTGCAACCTAAGTTTCAATCCTACTCTAGCATGGCAATTCTATGAATATAAAGACAAGAATTGAATTGCTCAAAGTAAAGAGAGAAGGAGGAACGTGGCGATGTTTTGCCGAGGTATCGGAGAGTCACCAGTCCCCACTAGCCCTCATTGGAGCACCCGCGCAAAGGGTGTAGCTCCCCCATGATCCACGCAAGGATCAAGTGCTCTCTATGGGTTGATTCTTCGACACTCCGTCATGGTGAATTACCCACAACAGCTCACAACTTGACTTGGGTCATCCACAAGCTTCGCCGGATGATCACCAAGCTCCCAATCACCACCAAGCCATCTAAGTGATGGCGATCACCAAGAGTAACAAGCATGAACTCTCACTTGACCACGACAAGCCTAATGAGAAGGGTGGATGCACACTTTGCTACTCTTGCTTTCACTAATAAGGCTTCTCTCTTGGATTCTCAAATCTCAATCACCTCACTAGTACCTTGCTCTTCTTGGCACTCTCAAGGATGTTTCTCAGCTGTTGGAATGAGCAAAAATACCCCCTCACACAAATGGAGGAAGTATTTATACACCCGTGTTCAAAACAAACCGTTATATGCCTCTGCGGGGTGACCGGACGCTCCGGTCATGTTGACCGGATGCTCCGGTAAGTTCACCCCAAAGCCCAATGTTTAAGTTATGATTGGACGTAGGACAGCATCCGGTCAGCACTGATCGGACGCGTCCGGTCACAATTTTCCCTCTGGAACCTTACTGGAGTCGACCGGACGCTGGCACCCAGCGTCCGGTCACTCACCTCTCAGCGTCCGATCGTACTAGACGATTTCACCTTGATCAAATGAACTGACCAAACTCTGTGCCAGCGTCTGGTCACACCAGAACTAGCGTTCGGTCAGCATTTGACCCTCCATTCACTTCCATCTCGCAATCATATGTGAATGATGTTTGCTCCAATTGATCTAAGGGCTATTTAGGAGCTACCTAGAGCTAGATTTGACAAGTGTGCACCACACCTAACCCACTAGACTCACCTAGGTCAAGCTACCCATCCATACCCCCCTTAATAGTACGGCCAAAGGAAAAACAAAGTCCTAAACTACTCTAAGTGTCTCTTCAACACCAAACGACACTTAGAACTAGTCCATCCTTAACCTTGTCGTCCATCCTTTGAAAACCGAAATAATTTCCATCGTAGGGGCATGACAACCATGATTGCCCAATCAATCTCCATTACCATGACCTAACTTAATTGCATCTGCAAAACACACGTTAGTCACAGTAATCTTATATTGTCATTAATCACCGAAACCCAACTAGGGGCCTAGATGCTTTCAATCTCCCCCTTTTTGGTGATTAATGACAATACAACCTCGAGTATGTGAAAAGAGTTGAGGTTTTTAACATTCTTGGTTCATATAAGCTTT